AGTATGGGGACAGTGTGTGTGTATGGGAGGCTGTATGGGGGACTGTGTGTGTATGGGAGGCTGTATGGGGGCAGTGTGTGTGTATGGGCGGCTGTATAGGGGGCAGTGTGTGTGTATGGGGGGGCAGTATGGGGACAGTGTGTGTGTATGGGAGGCTGTATGGGAGGCAGTGTGAGTGTATGGGAGGCTGTATGGGTGGCAATGTGTGTGTATGGGGGCAATGTGTGTGGCTTCGTTTGGGGGCAGAGCCTGTGCCGGGGAGCCAATCAGTGCTCCCTCCGGCCACAGAGAGCCCCCAGCACCTCATCACTGCATTCCCTCGGGCTGTAACAGGCTGTTACAGTCCGAGGGAAGCCCATGGCCAGCAAGTTACTGGCATTTGGGGGGGCCCAAGGGGGGGCACAGCATGATGTAGGGGGGGCCATGGCCCCCTCTGGCCCCATCCTAGCGACGCCACTGCTTTCTACTGCTAATACCTTTCCCTATGCAACCAAACATTCTGCTAGCATTTCCTGCTGCTTGATTACATTGTCTGCTGACCTTTAAGTCATCAGAAACAATCACCCTTAAATCCCTTTCCTCAGATGTTGAGGTTAGAACTGTATCAAATATTCTGTACTCTGCCCTTGGGTTTTTACGTCCAAGATGCATTATCTTGCACTTACCCACATTAAATGTCAGATGCCACAACTCTGACCATTGTTCTAGTTTACCTAAATCATTTATCATTTGGCTTATCCCTCCTGGAGCATCAACCCTGTTACATATCTTAGTATCATCAGCAAAAAGACATACCTTACCATCAAGACCTTCTGCAATATCACTAATAAAAATATTAAAGAGAATGGGTCCAAGTACAGATTCCTGAGGTACCCCACCGGTGACAAGCCCATGCTTCAAATATACCCCATTGACTAAAACCCTCTGTTGCCTGTCACTGAGCCATTGCCTTACCCATTCAACATTATTGGAATCCAAACTTAAAGATTGCAGTTTATTGATAAGCCTTCTATGTGGAACAGTGTCAAAAGCCTTACTGAAATCTAGGTAAGCAATGTCTACTGCACCACCCTGATCTATTATTTTAGTTACCCAATAAAAAATTTCAATAAGATTAGTTCGGCATGATCTCCCTGAAGTAAACCCATGTTGTCTCTGATCTTGAAATCTATGTGATTTTTAGATGTTCAACAATCCTATCCTTTAACATGGTTTCCATTACTTTCCCCACTACTGAAGTAAGGCTTACTGGCCTATAGTTGCCCGACACCTCCCTACTACCTTTCTTGTGAATGGGCACAACATTCGCTAGCTACCAATCTTCTGGGACTACTCCTGTTAATAATGATTGGTTAAATATATCTGTTAATGGTTTTGCTAGTACACCACTAAGCTCTTTTAATAACTTTGTGTGTATTCCATCAGGTCCCATTGACTTATTTGTCTTTACTTTTGACAGTTGAAATAGAACCTCTTCCTCTGTAAACTTACATGTAACAAATGACTAATTTGTCCTTTTTCCTAACTGAGGCCCCTTTCCTTCATTTTCATCTGTAAATACTGAACAAAAATATTTATTGAGGCAGTCAGCTAGATCTTTATCCTCTTCTACATACCTTCCTTCTTTTGTTTTGAATCTAACTAATCCTTGTTTTACTTTCCTTTTCTCATTTATGTATTTAAAAAATGTTTTGTCCCCTTTTTTTACTGACTGTGCTATTTTCTCTTCTGTGTGTGATTTGGAAGCTCTTATAACTTGCTTAGCCTCTTTCTGCCTAATCTTTTTTTTTTTTTCAATTTGACAATTTTTATTTTTACATGAAATGGGGGTACAGAAGGTAAGGGGGGGGGATTGACATTCAGTAATGCATTTCCACAAAGGTTACAGTACTTCATTCCCACCCGTGAAGGTAAGGATTAACTTGTTACATAACATACATGTGGTGGCAGCATTGCGCTCTTTTGTTCGCGTTGGTGACCTAGCACCACTAATAGTGCCACTAGGAACCTAGGAGCATTTTCCTGATATTTGGGTGCATATATATATATATATATATATATATATATATCTTTCCGTCCTTAGAGTTTTAGATTTACCCTCCTGCCTGTTTATCTATCGGCTTGTGTCTTTGGTGATCGGTTGTGGCGTGGAGCTCAATTTTTGCGTTGCTGCCAGTGAGTTAGGGGGAGGGGGGGGGGAGAGTGTGGGGGCAGTACATAATGGGTTGTAAAATAACACATTTCAACAGAGACATCAACATGAACATCAACATCGTGTCTGCTCTATGTTTTCCATTCTAGTTTGCACTCATGTAGGGCATATTCTCCTCGCGGGTTACCTTATTTAGTCCAGGTTTTATGAACCAAGGATGTTTGTGTGTAATGGCCGTCTACCCTCTCATCCTAATTTCTCATTGGTGGGAGTGCTTACTGGTGGCCTCGAGTTGGACTGAGAACTTCACCTTTCTTCGTGTATGAGCCTCCCTTTTGTTGTGTGCGGTTGCCTTGCGTAATGTCAAGTGTCACTGTATTTCTCAGTGTATTGTGTCCATTGGGTTTGCGCTTCCCTAATCGTGTGGTTCGTTTTGAGATATTTATTAGCCATGTTTTCGTACTCCCAGTTTGTGGTGATTTGGCATATCAGTGCTTGTTTAGTTGGCGGTTGGGGTTGTTTCCAACATCTGGCTATCAGGGTCACCGCCTCTATTAGTGTTTGGAATATTAGTTGCCTCTCCGGTTTGTGCCAGAGATTTAGGTGCATGAAGAGCAGGCCTTGTTCTGGTGTCAAGTGATATGTGGTCCCTATCGTGTGGGTGATAATTCTCTCTACTTGTCTCCAGTATGGGGTCAGAGCTGGACAAGTCCACCATATGTGGAACATCGTTCCCCGTTCCCCGCAATTCCTCCAACATTCCGCCTTGGTGCTTGGATATATTTTGTCCAGTCTGTCCGGGACCATGTACCATCTATATAGAACTTTCCTCATTGTTTCTAAGTGTGAGGCGCACATGGTGAGACCTTTGTGTGCTCTGAAAGCTAGTTTCCAATCCCTGTCCTCTAACGCATGTCCCAGGTCGGCGTGCCATTTATCTCTGAAGTCCGTTTTAGAGTCTGTATGTGTGTTTGTCAATACCGTGTACAGTCTGGAGATGATTTTTGTGGGAATTGTTTTGGTTAAGCACAGTTGTTCTAGGGGGCTTGTGGGCTGTGGTTGGGGACTGTAATTTCTTGGGAGGGTGGACACAAAGGATTTTAACTGTAGATAGGGAAAGATGTGTTTGGCCGATAGAGAGAACTTGGATTGCAATATTGGAAACGGTAATATTTTACCTCCCTCACACAGCTGTCGCAGGTGTGTGCATCCCCCTGCTAGCCATGGCATGTAATCAAAGTTGTGGATGTGTGCTTGGATGCTCACTATTGGCATGTTTCTTACATCAGGACCCCCTCCTCCCAGGGTGGTTTTAGCCCTTTCCCATACTTGTATCAATATCCTCATCGGAGGCAACATGTCCGCGGTTGTCGGGCTTAGTACATGAGGTGTCCAGTATATGTGTTGCAGTCCGTGTATGCAGGCCCACTGAAATTCTATGTACACCCATTGAGGGGGTTCTTTCCCCGAGTCTGAGGTTGCAACAGCTGCTAGCTGCGTGGCGCAGTAATACGCCTTTAAGTCTGGCATCCCCAAACCTCCTTCTGTCACCGGTTTTTGTAAGAGTTTTGTGGCTACACGTATTTTGCGATTCGCCATACAAATCGCACCATCAGTGTTTGTAACGTTGCCAAGTATTTTCCCAGCACCCGTATGGGGATTGTGCGGAAGAGGTATAGGAGTTTGGGGAGTAGGGTCATTTTAAATGCTGCTAATCTACCCAGCCATGATAAGTATTTTACCTCCCATGTTCGGAGAGTGTCTATGAATGATTTGGTGAGTTTGGTGAAGTTAAGTTTGAACAGGTTGGGTAAGTGGGTGTGACGAGACCAATCTTGCCACATTGCATTGGAGAAGCCTGGTTGCTCGCCTGCTGCCTTTGGACTATGGTCCCCTGTTAAAAGACATCTTTTTTACCTGCAGAAAAGCTTCATTTGTGCTTTTCTGCCTGGGGTTTGGTAGTTTTGGTTGAATGTGTTATACCCCAGATAGGAATCCCATGGAGCCCATTCGTATGAAACTGACTTGTATGCAGTTCGAGAGTTTGGAGCATTCACTTGTATGCAGTTCGAGTGTTTGGACCATTCCCTTGTATGCAGTTCGAGTGTTTGGAGCATTCCCTTGTATGCCGTTCGGGAGTTTGGAGCATTCACTTGTATTCAGTTCGTGAGTTTTGGTGATTCTACAGTAGCTGTGCCTGTCTCTGAAAGGGGATTATCGTCTAAGCGTTTTTTTTCCCTTTTGTGCAAAACGGTCCGTTACAGTGGGGTATATGTACCCCTAGGAATGTGATGTTGTCTGTCCGCCAGTCGAACGAGAAGGTGTCTCTAAGATGCCTCAGAAGGTCCTTTCGGATCCCTATGCCCATGGCTTGGGACTTGGCGACATTTAATTTGTAGTATGAACTGAGTCCATATGCCTTGGCAAGTATATCATGGGCTGGGTCAGTGTCAATAAGACATCATCCGCAAATAAGTTTATTTTGAATTCCCTGTCCCCTATAGTTACTCCATGTATAGCCTTATTCGCTCTGATAAGTTCCGCCAGTGGCTCAAGAGCTGTACATAAAGCAGGGGAGAGAGCGGGCAGCCTTGTCTCGTTCTGTTTGTTATGTTAAAGGCTTCTGATGTGAAACCCGCCGTGATCACCTGTGCAGATGGGTTCTTGTATAGGGCCCCGACCGCTGAGCGGAACATCTCCGGCAATCCGAATTTACATAGGACCGCTTCTAGAAACCTCCAGCCCAGGTGGTCGAAGGCCTTTTCTGCATCCAGTGAAATGACTAGACATTCCATATGTTGTTTGTGTGCGCTGTGTATAATGTCTATGACCTTTCTTGTGTTATCGCCTCCCTGACGTCCCTTCACAAACCCCACCT